CACCTATACATCATCTTATAACAATTTTCTTTAACATTAGTACATGTCGAGATCTTAATAGAGTTTTTCCACAAATATTCCCAAGTTTCCATATCTACTTCCTTATTCATATTAATAGCCCATTTTAACATTTGTTCTTTAACAGTTTCATCTTCAGTATACCATTTTAACAACACCTTATACATTTTAGAAATATTTTTTCCTCCTCCACTCTCCCATACCTTTTCAATTTCATTTTTTTCCTCTCTAAAACCATAGTTTTTTTTGTCTGATCTAAAAAGATCATAAATCTGCATATATTTCAACCACTCATATTCATATTCAATTTCATTCTGCTTTTTCATTACCCACTCTGTTCCCTCTTTTTTAATTAAATCTCTATATGGCAACCAGTCTCTACCTCGCTGTCTTGAGTAAGATATCAACACTTCTACTGGTACAATCCACAATGGTCTTAAGTCACTCTGGTACTTCTTATATCTCGTCCATACCATATACAAAGCTTTTCTCACCAAGTGAAGTTTAAAAAAACTGTCCATTTTTATCTTGTCATACCATAAATATGCATGCCAGCCAAATCTACAATCATGCCCTTCCAACCCCAACAATCTGTCATTTTCAAGCTTCACCCATTGATCCATCCATGTTAGACAAACCGCTTCATAATATAGTCTAAGATTTGGCATTTGTAGACCTCCTCTTTCTTTGGCATCACAAAGTATTTTCATTTTGATCCTTGGTTTCTTGCCTGCCCAAACAAATTTTGACAACTCTTGTTGCCACTTGGCCAACAAATCCGTTTTATGCAGAATTGGTATTGTTTGGAACAGGAACATCAAACGTGGTAGGACATTCATTTTTATAACTGATATTCTTCCCATCAGTGATAAGTTCATTTTATCCCATTTCTTAAAATCTTGAGTCAGCTTAGTCCATAATTTCTCATAATTATTCTTATATAGGTCTATATTTTTTGCCGTTAAGTGAGACAGCCGGCTGCGCATCTGTGCGCATGCGCAGTTCGGCCGGGAGCCTTGAATGCTCCTGAAGATGGGCGCGCCGGCAATCCCTCGGCCGTGCTTGTTGCAGTGTTTCAGGTTGGTCCTACTATTTCCTAGGGGTTTTTTTAATGCACGTTTTCGGCCTGAAGGGACGGATCGGGGATGGGTGCGCACCACTTCCCAGATGTTGCAGTGTGATTGTGCCCATTTGCTGTGCCTCCCATCCGTCCCTCTTGTGGGCCAAAACCTCCCGTGTGACCGGGGCCTTGGATTCAAATTCATCCATGGTGCTGACTGGATGACCTTTCGCCATTTTATCTCTCTGGTCTACCTCACTGATAAATGGGGGATAGAATGGGGAAGGAACATAGGATTGCCAGCTCCAGGTTTGGAAATTACTGGAGATTTAGGGGTGGAGCCTAGGGGAGGTGGGATTTGGGGAAGGGATGGATCTCAGTGGGGTATAATGACATACAATCCATCCTCCAAAGCAGCTATTTTCTCTAGGGGAGCTTGTTAAAGACAATTGTCGATGACACTGTTTAACCATCTCATCCTGGTTAGACAGTGGGGTATAATGCCATACAATCCATCCTCCAAAGCAGCTATTTTCTCTAGGGGAGCTTGTTAAAGACAAAATTGTCTAAATGAATGAGGCAAACTCAAGATGAAGGTTAAAACTCTTTACTGGTAGAGATGGAACTTGTCAGGAACTCGCCAGAAAGTTGCTTACAAGCCTTTTTATAAGATAGTTACACAGTTACATTTTTCAAAACCTACCCCTGACCACCACATATCCCTGCTCCCTAGCCTATTGGTGAGAGACATCAGGACGTACAGACTAGCCAAAAAGCCTACCCATCTGCACGTTTATATCTCCCATTCCTTTATTTCTAACATCCCATCTACCCTATTTACAGTTTTCCTTATATTAAGTGCAGAAAAGGGCAACCAAAATGAGAGTGTCAAGGTCCAGTTGCTATTCTCTGGGCAAAACGCTTCTATAACTTTTAATGTTGCTTGTTTTCTTCAATCTGTAATTCAAACCAGGGAAACTATTAACTGATCATTTATTTTTTTGTTGGCTGTTCAACAGCCATACTTCTGATGTATTCCTAAATTTTAATGCAATCTTATCTCTTACATGCCAATAAAGGTTGTCTGTCTATCTGTCACACTTATCACGCCTGCAGCTAGCTGCTTCTTCTCTACCTCGTTGCTAAGCATTTTATGGTCTCCTTGTTCCTTTTTGCATCTTTTGATTATTGCAAAAGCCATCGCTCGTTCCTGTTTTTCTACAGCAGATAGTTATTTTTAAACAATACGTTTCTGTAGACTGCCTTGTGGTTAGCAGGCTGTTTCCTTTGTGCTTAGATGCAGGTTTAGCAAGCAGTTTTATATATTACAAGAGACTTGGCTAAAAGGTCTTCTTAATCAAAATGCACCTTATTACCCCCCCCCCCCCACAAGCTGATAGTGCTGCTGACCTCCAGGCGGTGATACAAGAGACTTGGCTAAAAGGTTTTTTTAATCAAAATGCCCCTTTTTCCCCCCCCCCCCCACAAGCTGATAGGGCTGCTGACCTCCAGGTGGTGACTGGAGATCTCCTAGAATTGCTGCTGGTCTCCAGATGACAGAGATCAGTTCCCTTGGAGAAAATGGCTGCTTTTGGAAAGTGGACTGTATGGCATTATAACCTGCTGAGGACCCTTTCCTCTGCAAACTCCCACCCTCTGCAGGCTACACCCCCAATATCTCCAGGTATTTTTCCAATCTAGAGCTGGCAACCCAAGGAACTGAGCTCTTCAGTGTGGCAAACCATTATAATCCTAGCAGATCTCCAGGCCGCACCTGGAGGTTGGCAACTGAGGCAAAGCACCCTGGCTTCCCTCAAGGGTTAATGTGAGCCGTTAACTGGCCTGGTCCATCCTGCAGGTGTTACTAATTGGTCTCTTGGCCTACAGGGTTCTTATTTCCTTCAAGGCCAGAGATGGAAGCGTGCTAATGAGCTTCTCAGAGAACCTGCCACCTGGCTGATGGGAGGGGGAGAACTGGGGGTGATGAGGTAATCTTCTAGAGCATAGGTTCCCAAACTTATTTGGCCTACCGCCCCCTTTTCAGAAAAACAATTAGCTAGCTGAGATCCTGATGGACTAAAGACCTCAGCTATGACCTGCTTGAATTGCAATTGCTAGCAACGGAGCTTTGGCCTTTGATTTTGCAGTTTAAGGTTCGTTCCGTCTAATGCAACCTCTAAGAATGTTAGACAGTTGCGCTAGTGTTCTTATTTTCTTGCTGCATGATTTTAAAGTAATGTATTGGCTATAGAATTATTATTGTTATTATTAATTTAGACTTTTAGGCTGCCCTTCCCTGCAGGCAGGGCTCAGGGTGGCTTACAAGAGGATAGGAACAATAAATCAGATTAAGTTAAAACCATAATAAAATGCCATAAACGTAAAGGTACCCTTGCTCGAAGGCCAGTCGAATCCGACTCTAGGGTTGCGGTGCTCAGGGCTATTTTTGGGCAGGAACGGAGTTCAGGCTGGCTCCCAAGTTGGCCACACCCAGCAGGAACTCATTAGCATAATAGGCCACACCCAACAGCAGAAATTCATTAGGATTGGCTACATTAGAGGTGTGTGGCCTAACATGCAAAGGAGTTTCTACTCCAAAAAAAGCCCTGGGTGTTGACAACAAACAAGGTAAACGGAATAAGAAGCAAAAGGTGGGTGCGTCTGGATGACCAGACTTCTGGTAAAATGGGGTGTGTGACCTAATATGCTAATGAGCTGTGCTGTCACGGGTGTGGCCTAATATGCTAATGAGTTCCTGCTGTTGGATATGGACTATTATGCTAATGAGTTCCTGCTGGGCTTTTTCTACAAAAAAAGCCCTGGCGGTGCTCATCTCCGTTTCAAAGCCGAAGAGCCAGCGCTGTCCGAAGACGTTTCCGTGGTCATGTGGCCGGCATGATTAAACACCAAGGCGCACTGAACACTGTTACCTTCCCACCGAAGTGGTACCTATTTATCTACTTGCAATTTCTTGCTCTCCAACTGCTAGGTTGGCAGGAGCTGGAACTAGAGGTGGGAGCTCACTCCATCATGCGGCACCCGGGTCTCAAACTACAGCCTGCAGTTCAGCGTCTTAACCACTTGAGCCACCACAGCTCCTAATAAAATGCAAATAAAATGTAAATAAAAGACAGTCTGTTCCAAGATGGCAGAAACTTCAAGAAAAAAAACCCAGCTTTCCCCATAGCCTCCTAAGGGGGTAGGTGAGGGGAGGTGGGAGGTATGACAGTGCCAGATTAATTGCTGTCTGATCACTGTCCTCAACCAAAAGCCTGGTGGAACGTCTCTGCCTTACAAGCCCTGCAAAAAGGTAACAGATCCCGCAGGACAGGGATGTTCTCTGGTAGAGAGTTCCACCAGGTGGGGGCCAGGGCTGAAAAAGCCCTAGCCTTGGTTGAGCACAGCCAGATCTCTCTCCGGCTGGGGACCACCAGAATAAATAAAGACTAAAGTTTATTTAAAAAATAAAATAAAATTTCTTATTGACATAAATTGAAATAAACTTTATGAAATATTTTCTAAAATTAGACAGCAGTCTGGTTACTTGTCTGCAACTGCCCTGAGGACCCGTGGGGTTCCGACCTGGACTCCCTGGCAGTGACCCTAAGGAGACTCATGCGCGCCACCCTGAGTGGGGTGAACATGTGCTTGGTAGCCAGTGAAACTGAGGAAAAATGAAGCAGGAGAGGCAGTGAATGGAAGTCTGGCTGCTCTCTCTCTTAAATTGTGAAAGAACTTTGTAAACACCCAAAGGGTGGGTGATGGGACAGAGGGAAGGGAAGCCGGCCAATAACGTGCCTTGCCCCAGAGTTCAAAAGTCCTAGGTATGCCAAGGTCTCCTGGTTGTGCACTTCTGATCTGGCTCTGGCCACCACCCCCTATAGGGCCCACCCTCTGCCACAACTTCTGTGAGTTACAACCCCCAAAATGCTGGCTGCTGGAAATCCACCAATCAGACAGTTCTTAGAAGAGGCACTGGCAGGCTTCTTTGTTCGTCGACTCCCCTCCCACTCAAAAACTTTCTGCTTCGCCCTGCCGACTCCAGGCGCCGAAAGGCATGGATCCTCCAGAGAGCCCCGTGCAAGGCCTCCAGAAAGCCGCCGTTTGTTCCATCTGCCTCGAATTTTTCAGGGACCCCGTCTCCATCGAGTGCGGGCACAACTTCTGCCGGGTCTGCATCACCCAGTGCTGTGAGGAGTCCCGGAGACGTTTCTGTTGCCCTCACTGCCGCAGAAGGGCTTGCAAGCGAGATATCAGGCCTAACAGGGAGCTGGCCAGTATGGTGGAGCTGGCCAAACGCTTCAAGCTTCAGGAGGAGGTGGAGGAGGAGGTCAGAACCGCAGGAGGGAAAGGCCAGTGTGAGAAACACCAGGAGCCCCTGAAGCTCTTCTGTGAGGATGACCAGATCCTCATCTGTGTGGTTTGTGACAGATCCAAGGAACACCGAAGCCACGCTGTGACTCCTCTAGAGGAGGCTGCCCTGGACTACAAGGTAAGTTGACCGTTTGTTTTCCTGCCAGTTGTGTATGCTGCACCTGGATGTAGATGCGTGCTGCTGCTTTATGGCTAGGTTGGTATGGATGGTTCTGTAGGGTTATAGATCCAGTTGGTCAGCCGTGTTGGTCTGAAGCAGTAGACCAAATTAACGGTACCTTTAAGACCAACAAAGGTTTATTCAAGGCACACGAAAGCTCATACCTTGAATAAACCTTTGTTGGTCTTAAAGGTACCATTGGACTTTAAATTTGATAGGGTTATGTCTGCGTGTAAACACACTTGTGTAAACCTGTCTGGGGTTGCAAGCCAGCAAACAAGTGTCCTGTATTTTAATCTGTTTTCGAACCCTGGAGGGAATTTGTATCTCAAACAAAGCAAAGGATGTGCAAATCAATGAAACTGCAACATCCTCAGACCCGCTTTCACAGGCTTTGCCACTGACGTTTGGGCTGGGACCTATAGGTTGGGAAATAAAGCACTGCAAATCAATGAAACTGCAACATCCTCACAGGCTTTGCCACTGACTTTTGGGCTGGGACCCATAGGTTGGGAAATAAAGCGCCAGAGGGGACAAGAGGCTGTTAGGGAGAGAAGGGAGAGTGAGGAGGAGTAAATGAGCATTTCCAGCCGCTGCAGCCTCATGGCAGGTCATCATGTTCTGCTTTTGCAACTCAGTTCTCACATCTGTTTGTTAACCCTTTTATTACCTGCATGCTAAATTGCTACTATTCATTCCAACTGCTTGAATCCAATCTTATCTATACTTATTGCTCAGTTACTTATGCATCTTCTTGACTCTAATGATCTGTTCCTGGCAACAACTCCCGCCACCTATATGTAATGGCTGGCAAAGTCGGTTTCAATGTATCTGGAGAAGTGTGCATGCACATGAAAGCTTATACCCTGAATTAAACTTTGTTGGTCTTAAAGGTGCCACTGGACTCAAACTTTGTTCTGTTGCTTCAGACCAATATGGCTACCTACCTGTAGTTGGAACAGACGGAGAACTGAGTTGGCTGAAGTGTCTGGGGATGTAAGATCTTTATCTGGGGCTGGGGTGGATCTGATTTGTGGCAGTGGATCTCCTGCCCTTAGCCTTCTCCTGTGCTCTGTTTGTAAACCAAACAAATATTACAAAAAGCACCAGAAGTCTCCAGTGCTTTCGCATCCAAAGGAAACAAAATTCAACACTCAGAGAAGAATGTAACAGTACAGTACAATAGCTAGATTCAGATTCCCTTGAAACACCTGGTGGGTAAATTCGGAGGAAACAGGGTAGTTCAATTGGAGTAGTAGAAAGGTAGACTGTGATGTTTAATGCTACCCAAATCCAGGAAAAAACAGAAACCATATTTGCAGACAGCAGTCCATTTGTCTTGGTATCTTCCTTGCAGCTTCCTGTTTCAACAAGATTTCAAAAACCAAAAAGGACTGAGTCACAGGCAAAGGAAAGTGAGGGACTGCTGGAAAAGAAACCCCTCCACACATGCATGCACGTGCATAGATAAAAGAAGCCAAATACAGTTTTACCTAAGCAAACTTATTTCTTATTTCAGGAACAAATCCAGAGTCAATCACAGACTCTTAAGCAAGAGAAAGAAAGACTTCAAGACCTTAAACAAGCCAGTGAGCAGTCAGTTGAAGCATATCTGGTAGGTATTTCTTCCAGTTCACCAACACAGACTTGGGGAGGGGGGTATGAGATCACTGGTCAGGACCAATCCTAGCTGTGGAAGATAACAGAGTCGGATAACCATAGAATCTAATCAAGGAAGAGGCAGTGTAATGATGTAACTAACTGCTGTGGCTGTCTACTCTGTGCATCTAATGAAGTGAGCTCTGACTCGTGAAAGCTTATGCTGGAATAAATTTTGTGACTTTTTAAAGGGCCACTGCACTCTTGGTTTATTTCTGGGCAAGGACAGGAGACAATCTGCTCTGTTGGAGCTTACCTATGTCTTACAGGTTCAGTCCGGACACAATATGATCATGATGCATTTGAGCCTTTATTCTCTTCTGACCTAGCTGGTGCTGCTTGTTGTTTAAAACGTGCAAACCATGTTCTGTACCCTGAGCAAGCCATAAAGATACATAATGCAACCTTGGAATTTATATCGGGTTTTATATGCAAAATTCTACCATCCTAAGCCTCTGTATTTATCACCTATGCAGGAGGGGCCATGACCCCTTGCCCCATTCTCCACAGCATCAACCAATCATGAAAGTCTTCCTCAAGCCATTTTCCAATTCGGGCAGAATTGGTTTCATATATTTTGAGAACATACTGGCTCTGTTAAGGGAACATGTTTTGAGAAGCTTTGTCCCCAACAGTTATCTCATTTTGTTATGGTAGCCTTGTTCCTTATCTTACTGTTCCCAGAGGGCTGCTGAGAGAGACCTGATAATTGTTCCTGGCATGCCTGGAGGTCAAACAGCTGAGCGGCACAGGGTTGGCTAGACATTAAGGACTCTGTGGTGCCTAGAGATGGGAAAGTAGTGGGGGATGTGTAGAAGTGAAAAGTGTGAGTCAGGCTGCCTGGAACCAGCTTGTGCTTTTAAACCTCTGATAACCAAATGAGGGGCCTCTGCCAATGTTCCCTCTAAGCTGTGGAGTCTCGTGAGCAAAAATTCTTCTTTGTGAGCTACTGGCCTTAAAGTTGTGAGCGAGCGATTTGGCTGCTGCATAAATTAGTTTGCTCTGGAGCCATCCCTTCCTGAGCTAAGACAAAAATGTGTGAGCCGGAGGTAAAAAAAACTGTGAGCTAGCTCACACTAACTCAGCTTAGAGGGAACACTGGCCTCTGCCCTCCAGTTGCACAGTCAGCACCTCTGAACTCAGTCAAACTCTGGTCCTTTTGGACCTGCCTATTGACAGAGATGGTTCTGAGCCACCAGAGTAGTGTCAGCTAGTTTCTTCTAGCTAAATCTCTTGGCTAGCGAGAGAGAGATCTTTTGGTTATGCTCTGCGAGAGAACTTGTCTCAGAAAAGAGAAAGACCAGACACATTTGTAAGTTTATAAATTTTATTTAAACATAACCTCTAATAACAGCCTTGCCATCATCAACATTCAGGGATTCTCAATAAAATTACATTGTGCGTAGCTCTCTAACTCTTTATTTCAATCTTAACAAGATAAGCTGGAAGCGAGATGTACACAGCCATGGCATGTTTCCTTACCACTCTCGAAGTAACTTTGAGAAGAGATGAGAATGACCGCCCTCTGGGTTCCTATGGAAACAAAAGTTGGAACAAGGAGATGAGGGCGTACTCCTCTCTCTCTTGACCCAACCTCCATGGCACCCGGTTTCTCCTCTTATACCCTTCTTCTCGCCTATCCTGTTTCCCTGTTTGATCAATCAGAAGCTCTGACCTTTACATTATTTGTAAATTATTTCCTACTTAATCATGATTGTTTATGTTATCTTGTTTTTCTCAGGGTTGTTATTCTCAGGGTTTTCCATCTTTGGAATTTCCCTGCCTCCCAGCTGCTAATGGGTCATCGTGATTCATTGCTCTAGGCCTGGGTCCCTTATGTAACACTCTTGCATAAGGTATCTTTGTGCCAAAATGTCATTGTAACTTCTTAATTTGGAGATGCTTAAGTATGATGTTTATTCCTTATTCTGGTAAACACCCTACTTTTGACATAGCTAAACTTCCCATAAGCTTTACATTACAGTCTTATAATATTTCCTAACCTATAATGATCCCTTTAATATGCATATAAATGATTTTATGTGGTTAAAATATCCCTTCTATATGAGTTAAAAGAAAAAGAGAGCCCTTCTATGTAAAATGATTCTAGGCACAACTCCAGGTCTTTCCCGCTTGGTCTCATCAGGATGCTTAACCATGTTCTTCGTTCCAAACAATCATTTCCTACCAAGGCATCTGGTATCCCGTCTTATCATGACATGACCCAGCAAGCCTAAACGGCTTCAGCAAGCAGCTTTCTGAACCAAAGTTTCAGGCCTTTGCAGTCGGTAAAAAGCAAGCTATAGATCCTTACGTGAGAGGCTTTACGCGGATCCTTACAGTAGTGAAGAAAGGACTGAAGCAGCAATTTCAGAAAGAGAGATGCATGTAGTGAACTGCTTCTGGGAAAAGGGAGTAAGACACGGTTTTCAAAGTAGTGAAGGAAAATGATCAGTTTGGAGGGTAACAGACAGGAAGTCTGAAGGTATAAAACGGTTCTGTGCAAGACTTCACTGCTTACTCCCATCTCCAAATCAACATGCAAATACACATACCCCAGTAGGGCCTTGATGTACCGTGCCTTGCTCTCCGTGCCACCAAAGAGGCCAGTATTGGTCAGCTCAGGGCCAAAATATTACATGATGCTGGAAATCCTCATCCAGGTGCATACACGATAGATATGAAGCTGTCCTTTACTGAATCAAATCCTTGGCCCATCAAGATGAGAACTGTCGACTCAGACTGACAGCAGCTTTCCAGAGTCTTAAGCTTTCTCATTTGTTTAACTGGAGATGCCAGGGATTGAACCTGGGACATTCTGAATGCCATGCAGATGCTCTACCCGAGTCACATGGCCCTCCCCTGATGTGTAACTGAACTGCCAAAAATAGCTCTATTTCTTTCTGGTTAAGACGCTGAACTGCAGGCTGTGGAAGGTCAGTAGTTCAGCAGTTCAAGACCCGGGTGCCGCATGATGGAGTGAGCTCCCATCTCTAGTTCCAGCTCCTGCCAACCTAGCAGTTTGAAAGCAAGAAATTGCAAGTAGATAAATAGGTACCACTTCGGTGGGAAGGTAACAGCGTTCCGTGCACCTTGGTGTTTAGTCATGCCGGCCACATGACCACGGAAACGTCTTCGGACAACGCTGGCTCTTCGGCTTTGAAACGGAGATGAGCACCGCAACCCTAGAGTCGGATTCGACTGGCTTTCGAGCAAGGGAACCTTTACCTTTACCTTACACCCAATATGGATTAGGGCCACGGATCTGATGAGCAGGAGAGGTTTAATCGTTTGTTCCTATGCTGTTTCTCTGATCAAAAAGGCTTCTACTGCCTAGCTAAGCTCATTCGATTAAAAGATAGGTACCCATGTTGTGCCTGGTTTTTGTTTGTTTGTTAAGGTCTTAAAAACCAGCTGGGGAGGAGATAGCCAGCATTCAGGAGTGGTTATGTTATCTCAACAGAGACGTCCTGTACCTGTTCTCTAATTAAGAGACATAAGGGAGCCAGAACCTGGAAAGAGAAAGCTTTATTGCAATCAAAGCGGGGAAAACCAGGCAAAGGTGTTTTTCCGAAGTTTACATGACTACATACACACCTAATATACAATTTTGACAAGCAGAGGCGTATTCCATATTTGGTTGTCTTCCTGCAACTACGTGTCCCAAAGTTTATTCTAGGAAACTTGACATTTCACCAGAGCCAATTCTTGTCCTTTCATGTTATCAGAAATCAGAACAAGCTAGTCACTCCAGCATATGCAGGTGTAACTGCCCAAACACACCAGTAATCCCTTAATAGATAACTATTGGACGTTCTTTTTCATTTTCCGTTCGAGTAGTGGGCATTACACAGGTGCATTCTAATTAGTATGTATGATTGAAAGTCAGCTAGGCATGACAACTAATAACTTAATCAGTTACCTATCAGGTTCCTGTTGACAAAAACTGGATTGATCACTAAGGCCTCTGTCAATTAATTTAGTTTCCAACCTTAAGACTCTATAATGGAATTAAACCAAGATCCATCAGTTAGACTGTCAGACCAGGATCTGGGACAACCAGATCTGAATCCCAACTTGACCATGGAAGCTTGGTCCAGTGAGTCTCTTTCAGCCTAACCTATCCTACCTTACAGGGTTGTTGTTGTTCAAATAAAATGGACAAGGGGGAAACAATGTTGTCAGCAGTTTCGGGTTCCTATTGGGGAGGAAAGGTATATATATCCAAATAAATAAATATTCAATTGGGAAAATGGCAGCAAAGGGGGAAAGTTAGCTCTCTCTTCCCAATGTTCTGGCCCCAATCCTGATCAGCCTGTCCCACATGACTGCATTTTGCAGTTAAATTGTGCATATGGGGATCTTAACGCAGATCTCTTGTGTCACAAGTAGTTTGGTTGCCATTGTCCTTGGTGCATGTGGCAATTGAACTGGGTGAAAAAGGCTTGCCTTTGTTAGAAGCTTGAACAGGAGTATCATGGATATAAAGCACCAACAAACAAAAGACAAAAATATACCATGAAACTTAACTAGGAAAAACTAATATGAATACTTTACATGCTTAGGACATGCATTAATGCAACCGGACCTAGATGTTAAAGAATTGAAACAAACAAGAATCGGACATTTAAATCTGCAAGGTCTGGCGATACTGATGCTTGTAGGCTGCAAATCTGTGCTGAAAAACATTTAAATCTGCAAGGTCCGACCAGTGCCATCCATTTTCACTGCTGGTTGATTTGGCAGGCGAGTTGTTACACACTCCTTAGCAGAGTCCGACTTAGCCATCATTGGATGAATTTGTAGCCTACAAGCGTCAGTATTAGCTTTCAGTTTGTAAACATCAAGTGTATACAGCTGGACCTGGCATATTTAAATGTTTCTTTGGCACGAAAGTAAGCTTACAAGCGTTATCGTTAGCCAAGAATATGATCATCGAGGGAATTGTTTGCATGAGCTTTCCACGTTCAACTTGCTAATGCTAAAAATTAAGCATATTTAAATGTTTCTTTGGCACGAAATTAAGCTTACAAGCGTTATCGTTCAACTTGCTAATGCTAAAAATTTATGACCTTTTGGAAATGCTACAGCAGCTAGACAAAGGCTGATTCTGTATTGGCTTTTCCCTCCGTTTTATGAAACCCACGTTGGAACAGAAATTGCCCTCTGCATCGCATGCTGCTGTCACTTCCCTTGATCATCGGATTTCATTGTAGCCTCTACACTCCATGCTGCTTTTGTTTTGTTTGATCATCGGGTTTTTTTGTACCTTTCTGCATAGATTTATGGCTGATTGCCATAAGGCATTGCCCTGAGGTATTTGGATGTAGTTCTGAGCTGCACTTTTTCCTCCCCGTTGAGAAAATGTGGAGCGAATGCTAGATGCAGAATCACCCTCAGTGTGTAAAACCCTACAGGACTTTGCCTACACAGCAATTTGATTCTTGTTTGTTTCAATTCTGTAACATCTAGATCCAATTGCATTCATGAATATCCTAAGCACTTTGCACTTTGTATTTATGTAGGCTGTATGTATACATACAGAGTGTGTTTAGAATGTGCATGATTTGGTATTCCTTCGGAGATTACTAATAATCACACAGACAACTATTTAGGAGGTGAATTGTATGCGTTTATTAAAGTTGATATAAAATATGTAAATTAAAATTTATATGAAAATATGTAAAAATTGTAAAGTATTCATCATGGTTTTTCCTAGTTAAGTTTCATGGTATAGTGGTCTTTTGTTTCTTAGAAGCTTTTCATTAGCAAGAAGTAGAGAATCTGCCCCAGAGTGGCTTTCTTCCCAGCTAGGGTTGCCAGCCTCAAGGCTGGGCTTGGAATTCTCCTGTGAATACAGCTGATCTTCAGCCTGGGGGAAATGGCAGCTTTGGAAGACAGATCCCTATGGAGCTCCTGCCCTTTCTCAAACTCTGTCCTTCCTGGGCACCAGCCCCAAACTTCTAGCTGTTTCCCAAGCTGGAGCAGGCAACTCGACTTCCAACTGGAGCCAGAGAGACATGAGCTTTTAATTATACGCACAGCCTTTGTGGGGCTCTGGATTCATCTGATGAAGTGGCTCCTTCCATAAAGGCTGGAACCTTGTTCAGGCCTCTTGCAAGTAGGTTGGCAATGACTTGGCCTAGAGACTGTCCAGGGAATATTCTAGTATGTTGATTGTTCTAGTATGCTGATCACCACTTTGTGGTCAGGAAGCAGTTTTTCTCCAGGCCAGTTTGGCTGGAGATCCTGGAAGGGTTTTTTTTTTTTTGTCATCTTCTGGGTGTGGAACGGGGTCACTGGGGGTGAGGGGGAGGTATTTGTGAATTTCCTGCATTGTGCAGGGGGTTGGACTAGATGACCGTGGAGGTCCCTTTCAACTCTATGATTCTGTGTTTGAAGCTAAGCAGGTGAGAATTGACCAGTGGCTCTGGGAGAGACCCCCTGGAAGCCCTCCATAAGTTGCTCTGATAATTCCAGAGTTTAGTTTGCCAGAGCAAAATATAACTGGAGTCCAGCGGCACTTTAGAGACTAACAAAATGTATTTCAGCACACTAAGTTAGAGATCATTTCTTATAAGCATCTCTGAATTCAAATAAATCCTGCTGTGGCTCAGTGTACAAATATGCATGTAATTAACTGGAGTTTTAGTCAAAGCTTTACCGGCGTAACTGCCTCTCTCTCTCCTCTTAGTTGTCAGTTGGCTTTGTAAAACAATTGCATAACCTGCATAGGCCATGCCTTTCCTCGACACAGGTCCAAGTCATGTATACCTGTTATTGCCTCCATCTTCCTGCCTTGACTGTTTTAATCACAGGAGAGTTTAGATGTTGAACGGAAGAAAATGACCTCTGAATTTGAACTGCTGCATCAGTTCCTTGAAGAAACGGAGCAGCTCCTTCTGGACCAGCTGGATGAGGTGGAGATGGAGGTCCGGAAAGGGCAGAAGGAAAGCGACATCAGACTCTCAGAGGAGATTTCCATTCTTGGGGAAGTGATTAGTGAGATGGAGGAGAACTGTAAGCAGTCAGCGAGTGAATTCCTGCAGGTGAGAGTGTGGCTCATGGAGGGGAAACGGAGCAGTAGGACCCAAGGCCTTCCGAGGCTCATGCTTGGTCCAAACAAAGCCTAGTTTAGAGTGAACAGGGAGGAGGCAGAAGGCTCCTAGATTTGCCGGTCATCAGATAGCCTGCCTGCAAGCCATAGCTGTCCAGGCTTGCCTGACTGATTGCTGTGTCGGATGGGTCATTCCTATGGCTGCTATTATGTCTTCGGTACTAACTAAATACCGTACATGATCTTAGCTTTTAATGTATTAGCAGATAAAGACATGACTGAGCTTAGAACAACTTTGTATTCATAATGTGAACTCTGGTTTCTTCCTCTTGCCCCTCCAGAATGTCAAGAAAATGCTCAGCAGGTAAGTGGCTGTCTCCTGTTCCTGCAGTCCTAAAGGCTGGTTCACATGCGCATGGACATGAAGTAAGGTGATGTGAACATTTCCCCTGCAGCAGGGGGGCTCTGCAAACCACAGCGACAGAACCCTGTTTCAGTGCCAAGGGGTCACTCCTGGAATGGAGAGGCAAAGATAAAAAAGAGTATTTGGAAACCGTGTTTTTCTAACCATTGAGTATGCCTATGTGTCTCCCCCAATCCACTAAAGGAGAAATGGTGCAGAAGGTTATATTAGAAATAACATAAATTGAAATAGAGATATCTCCTGAAACGATGCTGCTAAACATGCTGCCAGAGAGCATTAGATGGAAAGATAAGTACCTGATAATTTATATATTAACATCTGCTAGAATATTAATAGCCAAATATTGGAAGCAAGAATATATACCTAACCAAGAAGACCTAGTACATAGGTTATTAGAAGTAGCAGAGATGGATAAACTAAGTGTAACGCTTCAGGGACAAAAGGAAAGTCTGTTTATAGAAAGATGGGAACGTCTGTATAATTGGATAAATGTGGAAGTATTGTAAAGTGACTCCATAAGCGAGGGTGATGAACTATGTAACATGGAATATGTTTTTGGTTTTTATGAAAATAAAATACTATCTAACGACAATACTGGGGGAAAAAAGTGGTGACAGGTGTCCTTGTCATACTTGGCTCATTATTTTCTTATGGCTAGGAGAAGAATCATGTCCAGAGTTTGGGGGATGGAGTATGAACGTTTTGTTGAAAGAAAATGAGGGGGAAAGGCTTGGTTATCTTAAGGAGATTCTCCTTTTGCTCTTTTTCTGTTGGGTCAGGTCCCTGTCACAGTTTCACCATCCGTTCCATCAGTAGCTATTAGCGCTATAGGCTAAACAGAACCCCCATATTCAGAGGCAGAATACCTCTGCATGCTGCGTTTGCTCCCAGGCTGTAATAGTCTATGCCCCACAATTCAAACAAAAATTAATTTTACTTTGGTTTTTTTCCTCGCTAGATATAAGGAAGAGACTCATTTGCCTGTGGTGATTTCTCAAGACAAAATTGGAAAGTCTACACCCTTGGTACCAGAGGAGGCAGTCCCGAATGTACGCAGGTTATAGTAACCTGCAACCATATATGGGGCCCATTAAGGGATGGATACCAATCTGTAATAAGACTTATCAATGCTGTATGTTGGTTGATGCTCCTGCGCACCTTGCTCGATAAAGAGAGGACAAAAATCACAAGGAAAATGGAAGGGAAAGTTAGATGTGTGAGACTGATTTAAAAATGTCAGTATGAAGAGGCAGGTTTTTAGAAAATGCTTAAATGCACCTATGAAGGAACCAGATGGATGGATAGCAGGGGGCAGCAAGGAAGAGCAAGCAGAAGCTGGGGGATTGCAGGTGTAATCTTGGGACAATAGAGGCCAATGACATCAGAGGAACAAAGAGAGTGTCGATAGAGAGAAGAGCAGATAGATCAATGGGAGCCATAAAATCAAGACATTTCCTCACAAATAGAAGTTCAAGCAGAATGTGAGAAGGAAGTGGGGACCAAAACAAAGAGCAGAAAAGAGCAGCAACATGTTGGTAGTGATGGGTGGAACAAACTGAATGAGCTGAAGAACTCAAGAGAGAAGAGGCAAGAAAGCCAAGCTTTAGTCATGAGGAAGCGTTTTGATGAGCTCACAGCAAAGAAAACTTTTGCAGAACTGTTTCCAGTGCTGCGTTTGCTCCCAGGCGGTAATAGTCTATGCCCAAAAATTCAAACAAAAATTAATTTTACTTTGGGTTTTTTCCTCGCTAGATATAAGGAAGAGCCTCATTTGCCTGTGGTGATTTCTCAAGACCTAAAAGAAAAACTCAGTACATTTGATAAGAAAAACATTTCCTTAGAAAAAATGGTGAAGAAATTCAAAGGTAAAGGAGAACTGATGTCCAGTCTTAATGCTTCCTTATCTTTGACATTCCTCTCCTCTCTCTCTCTCTCTCTCTCTCTCTCCTGAAGCTTCAGCTAAGAGGCAAACTACACAATACTTTTCTTCACTTCTTTATAATAGCTTGCCTGTGTTCCCTGCAGTCATGCAGCAGCTGCAGGGAACTGCTTCAAAAAATAAAATAAAGGAAAGCCCAAACAGACTAGGAATGGTTGGAGGGGGGGGCTCCTGCCTCCCCCAGCAGTTTTCTTGTGCCAAAAAACCATGTTTGGGGGGGGGGGAGTGATTTTGCCAATTTTGTGCATGTGGAGCCGCAAAATAACTCTCCCTGCAGTTTTTATGTGAGAAAACCGATGGGCGGCAACTGGAGCCCTTCCTCCCAGGGCACCATTCCTAGCTTCTTTAGGCTCTTTCTTTTTAAGAAGCAGTTAGAACATAAGAACATAAGAGATGCCAATGTTGGATCAGGCCAAAGGCCCATCCCGTCCAACACTCTGTGTCACACAGTGGCCAGAAATACCAGTGCCATCAGAAGGTCCACCAGTAGGGCCAGGACATTAGAAGCCCTTCCACTGTTGACCCCCCCAGTTCCCCACAGTTGCTGCATTGCTGTAGGAAACATGTGCAGCCTAGTGTAAATGAGTGAAGAAACCTATCATGTAGTTTGCCTCTAAAACCCTTCTCCCTATCTTATTCATTTTGTACTTCAGTGTTGGCAGACCACTTCTTCCCTGTTTTCAGTGTATTTAGGATGTCTCTGCTTTTGTCAGTGCTGAATGAAAAGAAGTTTGAATTCTGGGTATAAGTCTGCTACCCAGATGTAGAGGAAGCTCAGGGGTTTGAATGATAATCTATTGATTATTTGTTCCATTAATGCTAATGTTTCTAAGAAGAAGCATTTGGAGCTCTCTGAAATAAAGTTAGCCAGTTAGCAAGAAGGTATAACACCTGGTTTCTATCATATTTAATGAGCTGAGCTGACAAGAAAGCCCAGTGAAAAGAATTTGATAATTAACTGAAGAAGATGCTTTATTTTTAATGAAAGGTCAAGATGGGGCTAGTAAAATTTACTGAACTGAGCAGAGGTACAGCTGTACTCTCTGCAAAAGAGATCTGAGTTTGGCAAACCCCTCTTTCTTATTTGTTGTGTGCTTTCAAAAGGTAAACACAACTTTTAATATTTTGTTTGTAGCTGAGAATAATGGTTGTTTAAAGCTTATGATATGTATCTTAATAGTTCTAAATGTTTGTAGGAAAAGAAAGCTAGCTAAATTCTTTACTAAGACTATCCCTTATTCTCTAGTAAGAAGCTTTGCTTATTAGCCAAAGACTTTGACAGATTTATTGATGCACAGCTGTGAGACAAGGATTTAAAATTAAACTGTTAAGCATTATTTTAACAAGCAAAAGATTGGGAAAAAGCCAAAAATATTTCCAAGAGCTAATGACCAGGTGTGTCGTTCTGTCCAGACAGAAACAAGATATTAATCACAAGTCTTTTGACAATTAAAAAGGCCAATTAAACTAACAACCTCTTTGACAACCTCCTTGACAACCACGACGGTATAATCTCTGACCTCAAGCCAGACATCCTGGAATGTGAAGTTAAATGGGCCTTAGAAAGCTTTACTAACAACAAAGCTAGTGGAGGTGATGGTATCCCAGCTGAACTATTCAAAGTCTTAAAAGAACAACCTCCTTGACAACCACGACGGTATAATCTCTGACCTCAAGCCAGACATCCTGGAATGTGAAGTTAAATGGGCCTTAGAAAGCTTTACTAACAACAAAGCTAGTGGAGGTGATGGTATCCCAGCTGAACTATTCAAAGTCTTAAAAGATGAT